TTTTCACTGTCATAGGTCAAGTTTCCAAGTATCTGAAAATGCATTTGTGAATTCTTCCCCTGCTCCATTGATCTGTTTATCTCCATGGGGAAAAAAAAATGACATGGCTTTGGTACTGTAACCTTCAGAGTCATTTAAATGGTTTAGGAACCTGTGTTTCTCGGAGATGAGTTTTTCAGAAAGAAAAGAATATCAAACCTTATGCCACAGTGTAGTTACATATCCGCATGCACTTCTTGGTTCAGAGAACTAAGACCACGGAGCATAAGGATTTGAGCCTTAAGGGAAGAGGGAAAGGTTTAGGTGTATGAACAAGGGTCATGCAATAAAGTGAATATCAGAAAATTCAGGAGGAATGAAATAGGTAGACTCTGTGAATATTTGAAGCAAGAAGACACTTGAGGAGTAGTTTGGCTAGGGTTTAGTCCTTGGAGTCAGAGAGACCCAGGTTTGATCTTCAGCAAGGTACTCTGGATCATAATTTCTTCATCTATAAAATGGGGTGGCCCTGCCTGGGTAGCTCAGTTGGTTGGAGTTTGTCCCGCTACATCAAAAGGTTGGGGGTTCAATTTCCGGTCAGGGCACATACCTAGGTTGTCCGTTTGATTCCCCCCTCCCCCTGGTCGGGGCATCTATGGGAGGCAACCTATTGATGTTTCTCACATCAATGTTTCTCTCTTTCTTTCTCTCTCTCTCCCTCTCTCTCCATAATCATTAAAGTAAAACAAACATCTCCTTGGGTGAGGATTAAAAAGAAGGTATCAACAATGGATTTTCCTGATGGATTGTTGAGAGGACTAAAGGAAATAATGCACATAAGTGGCCTAGCAGTGTCCCAGGTGTAGCTGAACACAAGTAATTAGTAGTTATTTGTTACCTTATTTCCTTGATTCTAAGACCACCTTCGGTCTTTTTTCCCCCACATTTTGCAATTCTGAAATTAGAACAGGCTTTCCTGTGATTTCCTGCAGTGATTTCATTTTGCTCTCAGATCACTGTTTAGATCACTGTTTATATCAGTGATCTGAGAGCAGGAAACAGAGTGTTTTATAGGCAGGAAGGTGGAGTCAGTGTGCTCTAAGGTCATCCTGGGACTCATCGTTATTGCTGGTCCTAAAGGAAGAAGGAAGGAGGGAAACACCATCTTAACTTGGGGTGGTGAGGGTAGGGGTGCTTTTAATGTCACAGATGCTGCGGGCGGTAGAACAGGATAGATGGTGATGGAAGGAGACTTGAGCCGGGTGGTGTATTATAGAATTGTACACCTGACACCTATATGATTTTATTATTATTTTATTTAAAAAAATATATTTTATTGATTTTTTACAGAGAGAAAGGGAGAGAGATAGAGAGCTAGAAACGTCGATGAGAGAAACATTGACCAGCTGCCTCTTGCACACCCCCTACCGGGATGTGCCCGCAACCAATGTACATGCCCTTGATCGGAATCAAGCCTGGGACCTTTCAGTCCGAAAACTGATGCTCTGCCCCTGAGCCAAACCAGCTTCGGCTGAAACCTAAATGATTTTAATAACCATTGCCAGACCAATAAATTCAATAAGAAAAGAAGATGCTGTAGACATATTTGCTGAGAAGTAACTTCCAGAAAGGAGAAGTTGACAATCATGTAGAACTACCTATGTCCTCGGACCAGCAAATGACACCTCGTAGGATGTGGCAAAGAGTGCAGTAGGTTCTGGAAACATTTAGTTTCTGCTCCTGCCTCTGTCACTGACTGGCTGTGGGAGCCTGTCCAAGTGTAACCTCTCTGAACCTCTGCTTGCTTCTACCACTGGGCTCTTCCCACACACTCCATCCTGTGTTCTGAGGGTCAGGTGACTTAATACCTAGCAGACTTTACCACTGGATCAGCACCCAGTGGGCGGAAGCTGCCCTTACTGTGTCCCTAGACACACCTCTCCCCTCACACCTCCTTGCTACAGCCTACTGAGGTCTCATTCATTCTTCCCTTCAACTATCCCCCTCCTGCCCACTATTCAAAGTCTGCCTCTAACGTTATCTCCTCCTCAAACCTTCCCACCACCCCTCCCCATTCTGGGTGAGTGTTGCCTGCCTCTTAGAGGATTTTTCAAATTCTGCCTTGTAGTAGTGCTTTTCCTGTGCTGTTCAATGTATCCCAGCAAATTGCTAACCTTTTGAGGGCAGGAGTGTGTCTTGCTTTTGCAAACCCTGTAGTTCAACACAGTAGCATAGCAAAGAATAAGAAGTCATGGTCAAGCTTTTGCTGAGTACCGACTATTCGTCACACAGGACAGTCAGTGGTGAGCTAAACAGCCTGTGCCTTCACTTCCTGGCCCCACACATGCCCCAGGGAGACCCCGCCAAGCAGAGGAATGCCTGTGCACTTGAAATTGAGTGAGATTTCCCCTTGCACACCAGCTGGTGGATGGCCAAGAGTTTGGGGTTTGCGAACAGCTGTCTTCTGGATGGTGCTCTGCTGAGGGGAGCGGGGCTCTGAGGGGCAGGCCTGGGGAGGAGGCTGGGCGCTGTCCTGTTTGGGGCCCGAGTCAGGGAGGTGCCATGTGCTGGGAGGGGCTCTAGAGTGCAAGCAAGAGGAAGGGATAAGGAGGAACGATCTGTGGGGGAAGCACACAGGTCAGGGCTCTGCTGCTGGAGGAGGAGGAGGTGTGGCCTGGGCCTGGGTCTGGGTCAGTCTCTGCTGCTGGAGAAAGGGGAGGCTCTGACCGGGCCTAAAGCCCCACCGTGGAACTGCTCTGTATGGAACAGCAGGTGCTTCCTGCTGGGCATGCACTAAGGGGGCTGCAGTGTGGTCAGTATTTGCTGAGCCGTGGGCCCCTGTCCGCTCAGGTAATGAGCACTTGGCACTGGGCCTCATGCCAGCGTTGCACTCCTGGGCACAGGAGGACACTGGGAACCGGGTGCCGTGCCCTCCTCCTGGCACAGGAGGACACTGGGAACGGTTGCCGTGTGACAGGCTCCGTGTTATGTTGCCTCAGAGAGTGTTGGCTCAGGAGCCTGGGAATGTCTGTGAAAAATCCCACTTTTTCAGGAAGTTAGAAGTTAGAAGTGTTGGTTACGTCTGCAAGACCTTCCTGTGAGTTGCGACTTCCGAACTGGCAAGTGGGCAGGACAAGAGTTTGGGGTTCGAGGGCTTCCCTCTGGCATGGTGCCCTGTGTGGGCTGTAGCATGTTCCTCTAGTGTCTGCCGGGCCCGTAAGACGGGCTGGAGGAGGGGCCCACTTCCCAAGAAGGTTTGCCGATGGCTGTTTCTGAGCTGCGGAGCTGGGGGCACTGTGTCCCCTGCCAGCTCTGTGTCCGAGCGTCGCACCGGGTTCAGCACGTAGTTGTAGTCAGCAAATGTTTGGAACGAGTGACTTACTTTTGTATTTTTGTCCATTCTGTTCATTGTCTGTGTGTGAGTGGGTATGTTAGTTTCCTGTGGCCCCTTCAACAAGGCACTGCAAGCACGTTAGCTCAGAGCGATGGAGGGTGAGTCTCCGGCAGGTCTGGAGGCTGGGCGCTAGGAATCGGCCGGGCCCAGCTCCCTGGGCCTCGGGGGCCGGTCTGTTCTCTGCCTCCTCGTCCTGTGGGGCTCCCGGAGGTGTGGCTCCTCCTCCTCCCTCCCTGTGTGTTCCAAGGACACTGTCCCTGTGCTCAGGACACAGGACACAGGACAACCAGGCCTGAATGGACACAGGCACCATTCAGTCCACTATCAGGGGTCTTAGTGTCTTTCTAATCAGTTCTCGTTTAGCTATTTTAAAGACTGTTAGCCGCTGGGGTTGTGTGTCCTAGCTTTTGTTTGCGAGATATATATATTTTACTACAGCTAGATTTCACTCCCCTCCTGATTTTAGGTTCAGAGAGTTCCCTACTGACAGTCCGATAAGTAGTCATTCACGTCACAATAAAACCTTAGGAAATTAACATTTAAATCCTGTGGTAACTTGTTTTGATATCTGCTGTGAGGCGAGGGTCTGCACTTTGGAAAAAATAGCCAGTCTTAACAGACACACACACACACACACACACACACACACACACAGAAGAGAGAGGAAACCTGCAAACCCGGGCAGTCTGCGCCAGGGCTGGGCTTCGTTAACTTGGAGGCACAGCCAGTTCCTGGTGCCACCACAGGCACGCTGCGGGGTACCAGGGCCTTTCTGTTCTATTTTGGCAATTTCTTGTAGATGATCCTTATTTAAAAAAACCTTTTTTTAAACAGTGAGTCATTTACCAATACCAACTATTAAATAATCTATTCTGTTATTTGCAAAGCTTTATTAAGCTGTCGTAGATGCGAGGGTGTGTAGCGTTGTGGTTAAACTTACTTAACGTGGGCAAAGTGACCTCATTTGGTGTGTGGCCTTTCCACCTGAGAACGCTGTGCCCTTTGTGCAGGCTGTACTTGGTCGGCTAACAGCGTTTGTGCGGTGGGTCATAGACACTTGCACATTTTCGCTGTTTCTGTGGATGAACCTTCCTTCCTTTTTCACTGTAAGCAGCTTGTGCTGGCTCGGTGGCGCCGAGCAGAATGCCCGCGCCCTTTCCCATCCATGAGATTCTTTAACTCGGAGCAGCTCTCACTGCACCTGGACAATGATTAACAGGCGTTCTCTTCGGTGTTACACCTGCTCTCCCGAGGGGCGGGCGGCTGTTTACGCCTACATGGATTTCCACAGCTGCTCTCTGTCCCAGTGTGTGTGGGGGGCATTCTTTGTAAAGAAATACACAGCTACATTCCATCCCTGCAATGCTCACTGCATCGGGTTGGATTCTGCTTCTGTGAGAATTGTAGAGGTGCTGCCTCTCCAGGGCCATGTGGTGTGTTACCCGGGGTGCCCTTGGCCCAGCCAGGTGGCAGACAGACGGGGCTGTCCGTCCAGGGGGCACCGGAGCTGGCGCTGGGCTTTCCCGGCCACGAGCCGGGGTGGCGCTGAGGCGGTCGGGAGGCACTAGCTGTGAGCCCACACTGAGAACACTCAGAAACGGGAAGTGTTCTCTGCACCTTCCTCCAGGTCAGTCTTACGAAATCCGGCTGCTGGAGAATCGGAAGCTGGGAGACTTCCAGGATCTGAACACAAAGTACGTCAAGGTAAGTCTGTGAGGTGCTCTCCCTCCCTGAGGGCGGGTGGGGTCTCAGCGCTGGGTATGGGGTTCGGGAAAAGCCCCAGAGGGAGAGTGGTTCCTGTCTCCCCCCGCCGACCCTCACCCCCACCCTGGTGCTCTCCCAGGGACTAGGACAGCCGAGAGCCGGAGTGGCGCGGGCTGTGGACAGGCTCTGGGCTCCGGGTTGGTCACTCACTGAGCTTTTCTGAGCTTCTGTGTGCTCATGTGCACAGAAGGACTGACAAGTAGCTGTGTGAAAGGGCAGGCAGCAGGCTTCTCGCTGCCGTTCGTGTTGCTGGGGTTCTGTGAGGGGAGTTGGGGCCCCGGGCAGAAGGGTCCAGGAGGAGCAGCCTTGAGGGTGGGGTTCCCTGGCTCAGAAGGCGGCAGGTGGGCTCCTCGGGGTCCCTCTTGGCGCCCACACTCAGCTCCGCCCCCTGCTTCCCCGCCAGAGCATCATCCGTGTGGTTTTCCATGACCGCCGGCTGCAGTACACGGAGCACCAGCAGCTGGAGGGCTGGCGGTGGAGCCGGCCCGGGGACCGGATCCTGGACCTCGGTGAGCACGTTGGGGTTCTTCCTGGATGCCGCCTGGGCGGGGTGGGGCCTCTCAGGGCACCTGTCCTGGTGACACCCTGTGGGAGCTGGCAGAGCCACCAGGCCAGGGAGTCCCAGGGCAGCTGTGAGGAGGATCCCGCACTAAAGGGTTTGGTGAGTGACACAGGGCAGGCTGGCGTCACAGGTGGCCGGGGAGATGGAATATTGGGGGTCAGGCAGTGGTCCGTAGCCTTCATCCACAGCCTTTGGGCCAGACGGGTTTGGAATTCAGACGCTGGGATGCGTTGGAAATGCCTCCAGCAGGCAGTCGAGCACAGTCCTTCCAGCAGCAAAATGACCGACTGTTCACGCAAATCGGCATTAAGACTAACGGCTTCAGGCAATGCAAGCCAGGCCTCCACCAGAGGAGCTTCGCACGGCCTGACCGGTCGGCGTCTCCGTGCGGTCAGAGTTGGGCCTTCGCGTCGGGCGAGGCTGACAGCTGCACTCTGTGTGCGCAGATGTCCCGCTGTCTGTTGGTATCTTGGACCCCAGGGCCAGCCCGACCCAGCTGAACACAGTCGAGTTTCTGTGGGACCCTTCGAAGAGAGCCTCCGCGTTCATTCAGGTGCGCGGGGGGGGGGGGGGGGGGGCCGCTGGGGGGACACGGGGGGGGCTGCCCGCTGGGGGGACACGGGGGGGAGGGAGGTACCGCTGGGGGGTACACGGAGGGAGGGGGAGGTGCCCGCTGAGGGGTACACAGGGGGAGGGGGAGGTGCCCGCTGGGGGGGTACACGGGGGGGAGGGGGAGGTGCCCGCTGGTGGTACACGGGGGGGAGGGGGAGGTGCCCGCTGGGGGGTACACGGGGGGGGGGGCTGCCCGCTGGGGGGTACATGCGGGGGGGCTGCCCATTGGGGGGTACATGGGGGGGAGGTGCCCGCTGGGGGGTACGGAGGAGGGGGGCTGCCCCCTAGGGGTACACGGGGGGGGGCAGGCTGCCCGCTGGGGGGTATGTGCGGGGGGGCTGCCCGCTGGGGGGTACGGAGGAGGGGGCTGCCCTCTGGGGGGGTCCATGTTGAGTTTCTTACACCAGCCCCTGAGGCCTGCTGGGCCCTACCCTCTGCTGGGGCCGGGGCTGCAGGGGAGCAGTGTAGAGTGCCCATAACCAGAGCTTGTTGGCCTCGGGGCTGGGAAAAGGATGGGAAAGTTTTAGAATCCTGTGTGCGGTTTGCTTATGAATATGTAAGCTTTTTATAAAATACAGTCTTTCCTAGCATCAATATTTTGAGGTAAAAAACAGTCCTTTAATAGTTTTTGTTATCAAGTTAATTTCTTAACGGTCAAGCCCTGTGTGTGGGTCCAGCCTCATGGTCAGCACAGCAGCAGGAGGAGCTGGCTGAGGGCATGGCCGCATGCGTGCTGAGCGGCCCATGTGGCCTGGCCCTTTGTGAGCCTCTTTTCATCAGAGAATGAATATAAAGCCATCACCACAGTGCCCAGTTCCTAACAATGGCTCAGTAGAAGTTAGTGATCCTTTTCCCATAATTATAATATTCTTGTATTTTAAAGTTATTACCTTATTATTGTTTTTATCATAATATGCATTGTGCTAATTGAAACAAATAGCAGTATAACAATAAATACATACCAGGTGCCCTCTGTGTAGTAAGTCCTTGCAGAAGTACAGAGAAGGTTCTGGCCTTCTGGTCACCTTTGGGCCTGGCCCACATAACCTGGATGCCAGGCCATATAGGCTAAGCTGTGGCCCCCTCCCCCCCTGCTGCCTGTAACATTTGCCAAGGGAGGTGAGGGGTGAGAGTGAGGGGAAAGGGGGTTCCTGGGGTCGGCAGGCCTGGAGCAATGGCCAGGACTTAGCTGGTCAGGGGACAAAGGTGGGAGGGCATTTCCTTGTGGACAGGGCGGTGGAGAGACCACCTGCCCGGAGGCATGGACAGCGCTGGGGGGAGGAGAGGCTGAGGGTGTCACCCAGCCAGGCAGGATGGGCCCCTCCCCAGCAGCCCCATGTTCCCCTCCCAGGTGCACTGCATCAGCACGGAGTTCACCCCGAGGAAGCACGGGGGCGAGAAGGGGGTGCCGTTCCGGGTGCAGATCGACACGTTCAAGCAGAACGAGAATGGGGAGTATGCCGAGCACCTGCACTCCGCCAGCTGCCAGATCAAGGTGTTCAAGGTAGGGACGGCCTCGCCACGCCCTCTGTGTCCGTGCCCGCAGGACGCCTGCTTCCTCTTAGCCGACAGCGACGCCAGATGTTCTTGCAGTGTCCCGGGAGGCCCGGCAGGGAGCCTCCCCTGGGCTCCTGCCTCTGCCCGCGCCCTGGGACGGGGTCCCACGCCGGGCCCGCCTCTCGGCTTCCAGCATCGCATGTGTCTGCGCTCATTGCCACTTCACGGGAATGAGTGCATTTGCACATTTAAAAACATGTGTTTTCCTTCCGAGGAAACACTTGGACTTGCCCTCAATTGTTGAGGGCAAGACTTGCCTCTCTCTGTAGTGTTGAGGGCAAGACTTGCCTCTCTCTGTAGCGCCTCCCGCAGAGCCCATGCACGGTGGGCACGTGGCAGTGACCTGGAGAGCGTCTGCACCGATCTCAGCGCCGGTCCCAGCACCAGGGGGGAGCAGGGCAGGGCTGGCAGCTCTGCTCGCGGGCGGCCACTGCTGGGCCTGCGGCCTGCGGCTGTGGGCAGTGCTGCGCCGGGGAGGGAGGCAGAGGGCAGGAGTTGGGTGTGTTTCCTGCCAGAGCGGCAGCAGCCTTCGTACACTGCTTAGAGTCCTGAAGCCTCCAAACCGTCTCCAAAGGAAGCGGAGCTTCTCCACCTGTTTGTCTTGCTTTGCTCTAACCAATTACCTCATACGTAGTGGTTCAAAGGTCACAATGTATTGTCCTCTTGAGCTGCAGCTCCGAGTCTGACCTGGGCCTCTCTGGCCTGGGCTGGGCTGGGCTGTCAGCAGGTGCGGGCCTCCCAGGCGCTGGGGGAATCCTCGTGGCCTTTTGCAGCCTCTCAGGCCTCTGCATTCCTGGGCTCAGGGCCCTTCCCTTCGTCTTCAGAGCCAGTGGGAGGGGTCTCTCTGACCTGCCCCCCTCCCAGGGCCCTGTGGTCACACTGGGGGATGCAGGATCATCTGTTTTAGCCTCACATGGTGACTAGTCTTGATTCCAGGCAAGCTTGCCCCTTCGACATCCTCACAGGCTTTGGGCGTGGGGCTGGCTCTTTGCCCTCCATGGTACAGTGGGTGCTGTCACTCTGGTCTTACTGCATGCTCTAGGATCTCAGGGTGTGGGCCACCATGGACATCTCCACAGGGCGTCACTGGTGGCCTTTCCCTGTGCCCAGCCACATTCCTCCCAGACACCACGTCCCCGCAGACACCACGTCCCCGCAGAGCGGGCCCCTCCTAGTGCAGGGTGTCCAGTGGAGCCGCTGCTCGCACTGTGTGCCTGGTTCGGACCGTGCTGGGTAGTAAGAGAAGAACCGGGGAGTGTGCACCATGGAGCACCCGGTCTTGCCATGGCCCCCACCAGCTACCCTTTCTGCACCTTGAGGCAGAAGCTCAGCAGTGAGGGCCCTCCCTCCCACCAGGCCCCTTGACTGCACACCAGGTGTTTGGGGAATTGGGCCAGCCCTGCTGCTGCCGTGTCTGAGCGACCTGAGAAAGGCTTGGCACCTCCTGCTCGCGGGGACACAGCACCCATGTTCATACCTCTCACAGAGGCGGTTCTAACAGGTGTTTGCACATGCCAGGCAGAGTCCAGCCAACCTGTCCGTCGCCCTCCCACCCTGGTCGCCCAGTCCCGGGAAGCAGGGCTTCTGGAGGCTGCCCTGGGGCTCTGTGCGGGCATCAAGGCCTTCACAATGGAAGACGGGGCCCCTCCGACCAGCAGCGCCCTTGGTGTCACCAGGCTGAGTGTGTCCCACACGCAGGCACAGCCTGGCTCTGTGTCTCCCGGGCATCTTCCCAGGAGCAGGGCCTGGAGGCGGAGCAGGTGATGGAGGCTTGGCGGCAACACGCCTGCTCTCCCACTGAGCCCTGGACCTGTCCTTCTGCTCTCACGTGACCCCTGCAAACTCGCCTCTGTCCAGCGTAGGCATTGCTCTGAGCACTCTTTCCTAAAATCCCAAAGCTTTGCCTGAGGAGGGAGCCCGGACGATGAAAATCCTTGATGACACTATTGAACTGGAGAGTGAATTTTGCTCACTGATTGCCCACTGTGTGTGGCCTGCTGTGTGCACGGTGCTGCTCAGTCCTGGGGCTGCACTCACCAACCCCACTGTGGACCCTGGGATGTGAGAGCCCTGTGGTTCCCTCAGCGGCCTGCTAGGGCCGCTAGCCAGTGCATCCCTGGCTCTCACATCTGAATTGTGACCTGGTCAGCACTTGGTTCCTCTCCTTTACGTGAGGGGAATGATCGTACCTGTGAGGTCGGGACACCTTAAATCCCTCAAGTCATAGGACCCAGACAGGCTGTCAGGGCAGAGACCGCATGTGGCAGGAGTCCTGGTGTTGGGGGCCCGGAGGCCTTCATGACGTGTCTGGGAGCTCACAGCCTGTAAGCATGGGTCAAACCCCGACTGTCAACCCCCAGCTCTCTTCCTCCCCCCCACGGCTAAACCAGGGAGTGCATTGGGATTGCCATGGCTCTCTGGGTACCTTTCTGTAAGCAGTGGCCGCTGGTGAAGATCTTTCCCGGCATTGCCCTCTCTCCACCCCCAGCAGCCCCGTGCAGGACCTGGCAGCTGAGTCCCCTGTGGGGGAAGGGCTCCAGGCAGGGTGCCTTGCGCTTGGTGTCTGGGAAGTGAGCGATGCCGTCTGGTCCGTCCACAGATCCTGCCTGGGCTCTTGCAGGCCTCGTGGCCGCCGCCCAGCCCTGGGTCCTCCACCCATCACCATCCCTGCCGGCTTTGGGCTGATCGGACCCTGTGCTCTGCCTTTGTAGCCAAAGGGTGCGGACCGGAAACAAAAGACGGACCGGGAGAAGATGGAGAAGAGGACCGCCCAGGAGAAGGAGAAGTACCAGCCGTCCTATGAGACCACCATCCTCACCGAGGTGGGTGGCAGGCTGCTGCCAGGAGGGCCTGGCGCTGCGGGCTGGTCTGGGGGGGGGAGGAGGGTCACTGCTTTGAGAGCCCCGGTGGTGGTGGAGTGCTCGCTGGTTTGGAGCTGTGCTCCTCTGACAGGCCCTGTGGCAGGAAGGCGTGGTAGAACAGTTGTCTGTATTCAAGTCTTGGTGTGGGAGGAGCAGCCTGGCCCGGCTCACGTGGCCACAGGGTGAATGCAGTGGGTGCTGGAGGGCCCGTGGATCCGTCCGTTTACTTCAGTGGATGCCGGTTCGGTGCATCCCGAGGCGCCGGGCCCGCCCCCAGCAGGTCTGGCTCCTCCTGGGCCTGCCGCAGTCACCGCTGCCTGTGCTCTCCCCGCAGTGCTCTCCGTGGCCCGATGTGGCCTACCAGGTGAACAGCGCCCCGTCCCCAAGCTACAACGGCTCTCCAAACAGCTTCGGCCTCGGCGAAGGGTATGTGTAACTCCCCCGGCTCCCCCGACCCTGGCGGGATGACGGGCGTGGCCTTTCCTGCCGTCCTCTTCACGTCGCCTGTCCTGTGGCCTGGCCTCCGTGTGGGTGTCGGGTGGCTGGTGGGTGTTGCGTTCATCACGTGGTTAGCTCTTGCCCAGCTCTTGGTGCTCGGACAGTTTCTCTGAATGCTGTCTGGTGGGCGGCAGCTCAGCACCTCCCTGAGTCTGAGTCTGAGGAATAAGGGCCCCTCCTCCAGTGCAGGCCTGGGCAGGCCGCTGGGCGCTGGCGCAGTGTCGGGAGGTGGCTGCGAGGGCCTCCTGGGTCTGCAGCCTGTGCACATTCGCTGGTGCTGGCAGCTCGGAGGCCTCTTCCTGGTTTGGGGGCTTATCCCTCAGTAGAGGCCTCCCTGCTGGTCATCCAGCCCTGCTGACTCCCAGCCCGTCCCAGGCCACGCGGCACCAGGCCCACAACCGCCTGTGGTGCCTCTGCGTGTCCTGCTTGTGGAGGTGGGGGGGCTGGGAAACGCTGGCGGGTTTATCTGTGAGTGTGCAGGCTCCTTGAAGCCTGTGTTGGCAGACAGGGAGCGTGGCTGCCGGGAACATAGCCATGCACTGATTGGCTGGTGGGGAGCCCTCCTGAGAGGCGGTGGCGGAGGCGGAAGGCGGAAGGCGTGTGTATTCAGGCGGCCGAGCTCAGATCTACTCCATCCGGGGCACGTCCTCTGCCCCCCTCAGGCCGGTCTCCACGGTGGAGGAGGAAGAGCTGCCCGCAGGCCAGTGGAATGTATGCCCAGTGCCTGGCGCTCCTCGGCCCCGAGGGGCGCTGTGCAGGGACAGCTCAGGACCACCTGCGGGGCGCTTGGTCCTTGTGGGGAAAGACGTGATGTGAAAGTGTCTGCTGTGGCATCTTGTGTGTCGTTCAGTGACATGAAGTGAATTCGGTTGTGCCGTCACCGCTTCCGGGGGAAGGGTCGTTGAAATGCATTTTTCTCTCAGTGTGTGCCCCAGGTGCTCAGGTCTGTGCTCTTGAGTGAGCCCCTGAGGAAGGTCAGGGGTCAGGCCTCCCCAGGGGAAAAGCCACGAGAATGTGCTCTTCGTGGACAATGTCCACTGCCCGTGATCCCTGACCCCTCTCTGCCCTCTCCCATTGCCACAGAACATAGTGTGCTGCCCCTCGTCTGGCGCTTTACCTGGCACCGAGTCACCGGGTGCTGCCTGGGCCTCCACCCGCCGCTCCGCCTGGGCTCGGGGCTGGGAACTCCGAGTGGGAGGGAATTCTGACCTGACGAACCCAGAGCCCGGGCAGAGCAGCCTGGGCAGAGCGGCCATTGCTGGCCGGGAGAGTGTGGCTCCTCTGCCCACACCAAAGAATTGATTAAGGATTTGGAGGAGTTGGACAGGCTCGTGCCCTCATTCCTCTGACTCGTGATTCTCAAGCCTCTGTGCCCTGGCCAGTGTGGCTCAGTGATTGAGCCTCAACCCCAGGAGGTCACCTGTTCAATTCCTGGTCAGGGCACATGCCCGGTTGTGGGCTTAGCTTCCAGCAGGGGACGTGCAGGAGGCAGCTGATCGATGTTTCTCTCTCATCATTGATGTTTCTCTCTTGCTCCCTCTCCTTCCCTCTTTCTCTAAAATCAATAAAACAAAAAAATATAAAAAATAAATAAAAACAGCCTCCGAGCTGAGCGGGGAGGAGCAGCAGGCAGGAGAGAACCCCAGGCCTTGTGCTCACACCTGTCTCTTCCTTTGCAGTAACAGCTCACCGACCCACTCCCACCCGCTGGAGACCCTGCCCCTGGGCAGTGACGTAAGTGTGTGCGGCCCTGCCCGGCCTGTCCCTGCAGCCCCGTGGCGTCCTGGCCCCTTGGCCCGTCCCTGGGCAGCCATGTCAGCTCCCCTCCCCTCCCCTCCCCGCAGCACCTGCTCCCGTCCGCCTCCATCCAGGACGCCCAGCAGTGGCTGCACCGCCACAGGTTCTCGCAGTTCTGCCGGCTCTTCGCCAGCTTCTCAGGTGAGCGGCTCTGGACACGAGGGGACCTTGAAACAGGGACCTGGGACAGGCGTAGCAAGGGCAGTTACCATCCCGGACGTGCCCTCAGGGCGGGGGCTGTGGTTTGTCCGGTGGGGGCCACGCACTCACACGTGCTGACCTGGGCCAAGTGCCCCGCGTCGTCGGGGTCCTGCCCTGGACTCTCCCGGCGAGTGCGGCTCTGAGGGCAGGTAACCGGCACCTCATCGGCATCCCCGCACCGGCTGGCGGCTCCTGTCTGCCTGGGTTGGCCCTGAGCCACGCAGGCCAGTGCACATGCGACAAGCCTCCCGGCAGCTCTCCCACCGAATGCTGCTCGTCACTGTGCCCAGGGCACGCCTGGAAGGTGGGCGAAGCCCCAGTGAGAAGGGAAAGCTGTTCTAGCTCTGAAGGGTGTTGGAAGCCTCGCTGATGATTCATCAGGCAGAAGCTAGGAGCTATGGGTGCGAGGGTAAATGAGCGTGAGCCTCTACCAAGCAGGTGAGTCCCGAGGGACAGGGACTGGAGCAGGGTCAGTCCAGAGGGATAGAGACAGGGTCAGGCTGGGGAGGGAGGGTGTGAGGAGGATCTGACAGGGACCCTGTCCACAGCGAGTCGGCGCGGATACATAAACCAGGCATTTCAGAGTGGTGTGACCGTCTGGGATGGAAGGCTCAGAGGAGGGACCTGGCCTGGCCTGGTCTGCATGGGGTACAGGGAGGGCTGCTGTGGTCTTGAGTAGAGTGGTCAGCATAGGCCTTGCTGAGAAGGTGTCTTGAGTAAAGGCTGAAACGCGGCAAGAGGGCGAGCCACGTGGTCCTGGGGAGGGGGTGGGCGACCTTTCCAGGCAGAGGAAGGTGCCAAGGCTGCCAGGAGACATTGCGGGTGTGGCCCCGCGGCGGGATCCAGGGAGTGAGGCTGAGTGGACGGGGTAGAGGGGGGAGAGAGGTGCTGAGGGCCCTGTTGGGACACTGGAAGGATTTCAGGTTTCTTCAAAAATATATGTTTTTATTGGTTTTAGAGAGTGAATAAGGGAGGGAGAGAGAGAGAAAAAAACATCGATTGGACTGACCCAACGAGGTCAGTCCAGAGGGACAGGGGTCAGGAGCAGGGTCAGTCCGAGGGACAAGAACAGTGGAAAGGGAGCTATTGTGCCTACAGAATTGTACCCAAAACATCATATTAACTGTAAGAAGTCAGGATAGCAGTTCCCGGGGCCGGGGTAGTGCTGGCGAGAGGGCTGTGGGGTACTAGGCGCGCTCTGACCCGTGTGTGTGCTGGCCGCATGGTGCATGCGGAATGGCTGCAGCCATGAACACGTATTCTGCCTGCTGACGAGTGTACGTGGAATCCATGTCCCATCCCCTTAGCGTTACACATGCATTATATGCTGAGAATACAGAGGACTGAGGGGGAAGGAGGGCTCGCAGGCACAGCTTCTGTAAACGCCTGTCCTACATGACATACGATGTCATGTAGCTTCTGACATCTTTGGGGCTGTGACCTGATGCTGTTTGGCTCTTTGCTGCTTCTCTCTCCTGGAACGTCTGGTGCCGTGAGGATGCGGCTGGCTCCCTGTCCCCTTCCCCTGCCCTCTGCCCCGGTGCAGGGTCTGTGGGGTTTGCAGACAGAGCCTTTCTGTGTCCCGTAACGGGCAGCCCCACTTGCCTGCCTAGGCGCTGACTTGCTGAAGATGTCTCGAGATGACCTGGTGCAGATCTGTGGCCCCGCAGACGGGATCCGGCTCTTCAACGCCATCAAAGGCAGGTGGGTGTCATGTCCAGCTGGAGGCAGGTGGGCAGGGTGCCGACAGGGCCTTGGGGCAAGTGTAGGAGGAGATGCGATGCGGTGGGGGGTGAGGGGCATGGGCTGCCCGTGCGGGGAGCAGGAGTGAAGGCTGACCTGGCTGCAGGGCCCCTCGTCCTGGTCTGCCGGGAGGCGTGGCCTTTGGCCTAGGTCCTCAGGTGCCTGCGAGGCGGGGGTTCAGGCTGCCTCCTCCTGGGGGGACCGTGGCTGGGCAGGCTGCTCAGCCTGGGAGTGGTTTCCGGGAGGACGAGCGGGGCTGTGTCCGGGAGGACTGCCTGCCGTGACAGCAGCGTTCTGGCACATGGTTCGGGGCAGCAGCCCTGGCCGTGCGTGGAGCGCTTGATCGGAGGCAGCGCGGCGGACAGGCGGAGTTTTAAGCTGTAACTAAGGAATTTAAATGCCAGCTAGTAGAGTGAGAGCCTGGGTTTGGACCCAGGTCTGCCCCTTGGGAGTTTTGCAACCGGGTGAAGGCCCTTGCCCCCTGTGGGCCTGTTTCCTCGTCAGTAGGATGGGGATGGCGGTCCTTGCTCCCTGGTAGACGGTGTGAGCATGGAACACGATATGCCGTAACGTTCTAGAATGGTCCTGGTGCGTCAGCCAGGGACGTGTTTGCCTGTGTGACCCTGCGAAATGCCTCCTCCTGGAGGCTCCTGTTCTGGGCGGAGCCGCTCCGCAGGACGGCCTGCCTGGGATTCGGCCCCACCCCCACCACGGAAGGCACCCCACAAGCTCCCTCCTTTCTCCCCGAGTCCTTCCCGCAGCTGTGTCATCCTCTGTTCTGGAACAATCTGCAACAACAGAGCTTGGTCTTCCACACCTGCTATTCATTTCCTTTCTTCCTGCCAGGAACGTGAGGCCGAAGATGACCATCTATGTCTGCCAGGAGGTGGAGCAGAGCCGGGCACCCCCGCAGCAGAAGCGGGACGGAGGCGGGGACAGCGGGCTGTGCGGTGAGTTAGTTGTGAGTCCGTGACCCACCCCCCCCCAGGCCGATTCCAGGGGACGGAGGCGGGGACACGGGCTGTGTGTGAGCTGTGAGGCCCCCCTCAGGCCGGTGCCAGGGTGGCAAGAGAACGGAAGAAACACCAGGGCTCTCACTGGGAATGTGTCCCTGACCCCCTCACTTCGGTGTCTGCAGGATAAGGTTTGCTGAACCTCATCCTGGGACTGAAGTGTTTAAGGTGGACAGCATCCCCCAGATCCCCCTGGTCTGGCTTACTTACTTCACATCCCAGGACACGGGCCCAGCGGCTGGGTGTGTCCCCCAAGGCCACAGAGGTCCTCGTGGTAGGACTGGGAGCTGGGCCTTCTGGCTCCTGGATGGATGACACGTGGCTCGGTGGCTGTGGTCCCAGGAGCATGTCACCCTGTGACCCCGGCCGGAGGGCGTGGTTGCTGCCTGAGGGCTCAGGAGCGGGCTGAGGGGCACAGGACTGCTTGGGTTGGGAGTTTGAGGCAGTGTGAGAGAGGACACAGCTTTGAGGTCAGCTCTCCTTGAGTACCAGTCCTGGCCATACCGTGTCCTGGGGCAGGTACCCTGTGCATCAGCTTCCACGTGTGTAAAAGGAACAGCGCCACGGCCCTGTGGCGTGTGAGGTCCAGGGAGTTGAGCACAGTTCCCTGATGGCAGCTGAGTGCAAGCCGCCCTGGAGAAGGTGCCTTGTCTGCAGGAGCCCTGCCTGCTCTGCAGCACCGGCGGGGACAGTGCTGCAGGCCTGGCAGAGAGAGCGCTGTGGGGCCCGGGGGTGGGGGGGTGGGGGTGGGGGAGGAGAGTGTGCTGCGGCCCCAGCAGGGACTCTGCTGTAGGCCCTGACAGAAGGGCTGCCCACGTGGTTGCTTACCCGCTTCTCAGGAGGAGCGGTTGCTAATGTTTCACTGCGGGGATAGAGGCACAGGGGACTGGCCCAAGGTGACAGCATTGTAAGAGGCAGAGCCAGATCAGGCTCTTGGACCCTGGCGCTGGCTTCTGAGCCCTCAGTGAGGCCTCCATACTCTGGTGAAGGCCCCGGTGCCCCCTGCTCTCGGCCTGGTCGACCTGCAAAGCACAGAGCCAGTGCCACGTGCCACACAGAGGAGAGGGTGGCCAGGTTGGCACACGGGAGGGGGTGGCCAGGGCTGCACACAGGAGGGTTCTACCTGGTCCGCACAGGGTGTTCCACACACGGTGTGTGATTTAACTGGGGGTGGCCTTGCACTGCAGGTGCTGGCAGGACCCGCAAGGCTCCTGGAGGAGTGGGGACTGTTCCATTGTGCAGGGACCACATTGCCCGACGAAACCTCATAGCGGGGCAGCCTGTTTGAGTTGTGGAAGGTGAATCTGTCATGTGGCTGGAACCTTGTGGCCTCTGCACCCACTTCAAAAGTTCCACTGTGTGTATGTGCACGTGTGCATGCATTTATACATATGTGTGTGTGCATGCACATGTGTGCACACATACGCAAGTGTATACGCACTTTCACATGCATGTTGTGTGTGCATGTACATGCGTGTGTGCCTGTGCATGTTTTTAAAGTTGGGCCTCTGATCAGATGTGTTGGATCTGAGGGTTCCTTAGTCGAGGGAGGAGTTGGGAGCTGCTGGTTGAATCCAGCTGTTGTAGTTTGAGGAACTCGAGGCCGGAAGCATTAACTCACCAGGTCTCCATGGGGCCTGGCTGGCTTGGGTTTGGTGCCGCCCCGGCCTCAGGCCACTGACTTTCTGACTGGCCGGTGGCGCTCCGAGTGCCCCTTCTCCCGCTGGGGCCACAGTGCCCACACGCACTGCTACTGACTGAGGAGAAGGGTGAGGACGAGACCCTCTCTGCTGCCCGGTAGCAGTTGTCTAAATCTCTCGGCCACCTGACAGCATCAGTGACCCCTTAGCGCAAAGGAAGGAAGGGCCCAGGGCCCCCTCCCGGTCCCGCAGTGAGCACCCTGGGAGCTGGTTTAGCTGCAGATGCTGCAGCCCTCCTTCCTCCAGCCTCCTCCCCATGGATGTCAGCGGGCCTGGGGTAGATCCAGGACTTCCGCCCTTACATGAGTCCCCCAAGAGACTGAAAGAACGCAGCCGGCACACAGGAGAGGGGCCAGGGGCGTGCCCACTGCAGCCCAGCCCCATTGACCCCATGAGCACCCCCAGGAGAAAGTGACTGCTTTCCCGGGTGGGGCAGGGCGGGTGGGGTAGACCAGCTCTATGGAAGCACCTGTTCCTGCCTCCTCAGTGTACCACGCCATCTTCCTGGAAGAGCTGACCACCTTGGAGTTGATTGAGAAGATCGCCAGCCTGTACAGCATCTCCCCACAGCACATCCACCGAGTCTACCGGCAGGGGCCCACGGGCATCCACGTGGTGGTCAGCAACGAGGTGAGCTTGCTGCCTGCCCTGCCTGGTGAGCGGAGGAGCAGTGGACCCTGCATCCTGTGCGGTCCGGGGGTGACTTTAGCCCAAAGACTGCCAACGGTTTCACTGGCATGCCACAGGCTGCGGTGGCCGCCGGGATGCTGGGAGGGAGAGAGCTCTGAAGCCATGACTGGGTCTGAATAGCTTTCGAATATCCACTCCATTACCTCACCCTTGGCCAGGTCTGTAGGAACTGGAGCACAGACGGCACCCCTGCCTTCAGGGTCCTTGCAGGGAAGGCAGGAGGCGTTGGGAAAAGGGTGCTCAGCAGGGCAGGTGGCAGGGCCAGTGAGAAGTGACAGAGTGGGGGCTGGTGATGGGAAGGATGTGGCTCAGTATGGAGGACCCTCTGCTGAATAGGGAAGGTGCCACAGCCTTCCTGGGCCGGTCACAAGCAGCCCCTGGCAGGGGCACAGGTCTGATTCCACAGGCTGAGGAGGGCTGCTCACCACGCTTGCTGACACATCGGTGGTCTGCGAGTTGTAGAATGGAGGCTGTTAAGCCTCTTCTGACCTCACCTTCCCTCTTAATACTAATGGTAAGGGGAGCCAGCACTATCGAGTGCTGACTGTCCCCACTGCTGTCCCAAGTGCACGTGCAATGACTCATTTCATTATTTTTTATTTAAAAAAATCTTTATTTTTGAGAGTATTACAGATGTCCCCCTTTTGTCCCCCTCATTGTCCCCCTCCACCCGGTTCCCACCCCACCCCAGGCCTTTACTACCCTATTGTCTATGTCTATAGGTAATGCATATATGTTCTTTAGTTAATCTCTCCCCTTCATCTTTCCTCTGAGATTTGTTGGTCTATTCCATGTTTCTATTTTATTCATTAGCTTCTTTGTTCATTTATTTTCATTTTTAGATTCAATTGTTGATAGATATGTATTTATTGCCACTTTAATTTTCATATATTTTAAAAGAATTTTTTTAATTGGTATCAGAGAGGAAGGGAGAGGGAGAGAGAGAGAAACATTGATGAGAGAGAATCATTCATTGGTTGCCTTCTGCAACCAGTGGGGATCAAACCTGTAACCTGGGCATGTGCCCTGACTGGGAATTGAACCATGACCTCCTGGTTCAGAGGTCAACACTTAATCACTGAACCATCCCTGTTTGTTTATATATTTTATCTTTCTTCTCCTTTTCCTTCTTATTCTTCAAGAATACCCTTCATCATTTCATGTAATACTGGTTTGGTGGTGATGAACTCATTTAGCTTTTTCTTGTCTGTGAAGCTCTTTATCTGACCTTCAATTCTAAATTGAGCTTTTCTAGGCAGAGTAATCTTGGTTGTAGGTCCTTGTTTTTCATCACTTTGAATATTTCTTGCCACTCTCTTCTGGCCTGCATAGTTTCTGTTGAGAAATCAGCTGACAGTCATGTGGGCATTCCTATGTAGATAACTGACTGCTTTTCTCTTGCTGCTTTTAAGATTGTCTCTTTTTCTTTAACTTTTGGCATTTTAATTATGATGTGTCTTGGTGTGGGCTTCTTTGGATTCCTCTTGTTTGGGACTCACTGTGCTTCCTGAACTTGTAAGTCTATTTCTTTCACCAGGTAGGGGAAGTTTTCTGTTACTATTTCTTCAGAAGATTTTCAATATCTTGCTCTCTCTCTTCTCTTTCTGGCACCCCATAATATTAAAGTTGTCCCAGAGGTTCCTTACACCCTTTTCATATTTTTGGATTCTTTATTTATTTTTTGCTCTTCTAAATGGGTGTTTTTTGCTTCCTCATATTCCAATTTGTTGATTTGATTCTCCACATTCTCTGTTCTACTGTTGAATCCCTGTAAATTATTCTTTATTTCAGTTAGTGTATGCTTAATTTCTGACTGGTCCTTTTTCATGTCTTTGAAGTTCTCACCTACATTCTTTGAAATTCTTAGGAAGTGCCTTGAAGCTCTCATTAAGATGCTTGAGTATCCTTACAACCATTGTTTTGAACTATATTTCTTAGTTTGTTTGCTTCCACTTCATTTAGTTCTGTTTCTGGAGATTTTTTCTTTTCTTTCTTTTTTTTTTTTTTCTCTTTCATTTGTGACATGTTTCTTTGTCTCCACATTTTGGCTGCTTTCCTGTGTTTGTTTCTTTGTATTTTGGCAGAGCTGCTGTGTCTCCTGGAGTTGGTAGAGTGACCTTGTGGAGTAGGTGTCCTGTAGGCCTCAGGTGCTCAGCCTCCCCAGTCTCTTGGGCACTGTAGGTATGCCCCTGTGTGGGCTGTGTACACTGTCTTGTTATAGTTGAGCCTTGATTGCTGTTGGTGTCACTGAGAGGAATCGACCCCCAGGCCAATTGGCTGTGAGGACCAGTGGTGACTACGGTGGAAGAGCTACAGTACAGGAGATCCCCTGTGGATTAGGACTTGCTTCAGTGAATCTTCAGTGCTCTCAGAATCTTCCCCTTGAATGTGTCACTCATGGATGTGTAGAGCTAAAATCTGGCATGGTCTGAAGCTGTCCACCTGGTGCATGGCTCTGGAGCCTTCTGGGAGGTGCAAAGTGGGCCACTGCCTGTGCCCTTCCTGGGGCCACTGGACAAGAGCTACAGATTGATCTGCAAATGGCTGCTACTTGTGTTGGGTTTGGAAGTGCCCAGGGGAGGCCAAGCTGTGAAGCAAGGCAGGCTGCTGCTAGTGCCAGGCCTGGGGCCCCTTATCAAAAGGTATGGGGTGCACTGACAACAGCTGTTACTTGTTTGAGAGATTTTAGGAAAGTCTAAATAAAGCCTGAGCTAGGACAGGCTGTTTAAATGAAAAAACCTGCTGCAAGCAGTTTGGGTCGGGCTGCAAATTGGGTGAGGGGAATCACCAGGGTGAAGCAAACAATGTGAGCCATGTTGATTGAGACTCAGATATGCTGCCTGCCAGTCAGCTCTGTAACTGGAGGGTGGGAAGAGTGAGGGGAGGGATGCAGGGGGAGTGGGAGACGGGGAGGTCTCAGCATAGGAACAATGACCCCTGTGAGCATTCCTGGCTAGGAGAAAGCTGCCTGATACTAGACAATCCAGTTCCTTCCTCCCTGGGAATGAGTCTGAATAAGTCTGTGTGTTGGGCCTTTAAGAGGAACTGCGTGGGTCTCCAGCAGCCTCTGTGAATAACTCATAGTCTACCTTTGATGAATTATCCCATCTCACAGATAGGAAACTGAGACACAGAGAGGCAAGTGCCCAGATTGCACAGCTGGTGAGGGCTGGAGCCAGGGGCAGGGTTGGGGGGATACCTGGTAGTCGAGCTGTAGAGCCTGAGCACTGAGCCAGTAGGCTATCCAACCTCTCTTGAATTAATCCTTTAAAAAAAATTGGCTGATAGGAGCAGGTCTGGAACCGTGATCCCCTGCTCAGCCCCTGCAGACCCTGAGCCAGCTGTGGGAACTGTGAAAGCCTATGTAGAGGATTTTAGGGGAAATGGCACAGGAGTAATTGCTGGGGACATAGAGAAAATGTGGTGTTTGGAATTGGACTGGTGTCCCTGACCTGGAACTGGCTCCTAGTAGCTGAGCAACCTTGGGCAAATTTATTTAATCTCTTTGAACTTCAGTTTCCACATCTGTAAAACGGGGATAATTATACCTATTAAGCAGGTAAGGATAAAATGAGAAAACTGTGTTAGGTACCAGGAGATGCTAAATAAGCAGTGGATGTTGTTGCTGACAGTGCTAGGCACTTGTTATTTTGGGGAGCAAGTGATGGACAGATCTTTAAATTTGATGATGTATAAAATGTAAGGCTTTTATTGGTCTGTATATTTATTTCAAAAATTATAATTATCTACACTAATAAAAGAGAAACATGCAAATTAAATACCACTCTGCTATGCCCACAAGCTGCGACCACAAGCCAATCAGGAGCGAGTATGCAAATTAACCCAACCAAGATGGCTGCTGGCCACAGAGCTGGAGCAAGCAGGAGGCTTGGGTTGCCCCCATAATGGAGGAAGCCAAGTTTCCCACACATCCTGGCTGGCCCTGATCTCCGTTCAAGGCTACAAAGTTTCAATTACAGAAGATAAATAAATCCCAACAAAAATGGCGGCTGCCACAGAGCTGGAGTGAGCAGGAGGCTTGGGTTTCCCCCAGCAATGGAGGAAGTCAAGCTTCCCGCCCACCCGGGCCTCCATTCAAGGCTACAAAGTTTCAGTTATAGAAAATAAATAAATCCTAGATGTTTGCTTCCAGCCGGCCCTGGCCTCCGCTCAAGGATGCACTGAAAGAAAAAATAAAAGGAAGGGTTGGGACCTTGGGTCACTGAGGGTTGGCCAGGCCAGGATGGGACTGCAGGGGCAGTTAGGGATAAGCAGACCAGCAGGGGGGCCAGCTGGAGGTGAGCAGGCCATCAGTGGGGGTCAGTTGGCAGTGAGCAGACAGTGGCGGGGGAGCAGTTTGGGATGAGCAGGCCAGCAAGGGGGCAGTTGGGAGTGAGAAGGCTGGCGGCGGGCATTTGGAGGTGAGCAGGCCGGCAAGCAGAGTGGTTAGGAGCAATCGTCAGGCAGGCAGGCAGGCAGGCAGATGAGCAGCTGGAGCCAGCAGTCACGGGTTGTGAGAGGGATATCTGACTACCGGGTTAGGCCCGGTCCCTGTAAACTGGCAGTAGGACTTCCTTCAAGGGGTCCCAGATTGTAGAGAGTGCAGGCCGGGCTGAGGACCACCACCACCACCACCATGCACAAATTTTGGGCACCAGGTCACTAGTTAGTAATAATCTTATACTTCAGAGCCTGTGAGGTGAGGTGGTGTTCGTTCCTTTTTATTTAAAAAGCAAATCACAGCCGAAACTGGTTTGGCTCAGTGGATAGAGCGTTGGTTTGCAGACTGAAAGGTCCCAGGTTCGATTCCGGTCAAGGGCATGTACATTGGTTGCGGGCACATCCCTGGTAGGGGGTGTGCAGGAGGCAGCTGGTTAATGTTTCTCTCTCATCAATGTTTTTAGCTCTCTATCCCTCTCCCTTCCTCTATGAAAAAAACA